ATGGATGGATGGATGGATGGATGGAAGGATGGATGGAAGGAGGGATGAAGGGATGGATGGATGGATGGAGGGATGGATGGATGGATGGATGGATGGATGGATGGATGGAAGGAGGGATGGAGGGATGGATGGATGGGTGGAGGGATGGATGGAGGGATGGATGGAGGGATGGAAGGATGGATGAATGAATGAATGGATGGATGGAGGAATGAAGGAAGGAAGGAATGGATTAATAAATGAATGAATGAAGGAAGGAATGAAGGGATGAATGAATGGGTGGATGGAGGAAGGAAGGAAGGGATGGAGGAAGGAAGGAAGGAATGGATTAATGAATGGATGGATGGATGAATGAATGGAGGAATGAATGAATGATTGAATGAATGAATGAATGGAGGAATGAATGAATGAAGGAATGAATGGATGGATGGATGAAGGAATGAAGGAATGAATGGAGGAATGAATGGATGGATGGATGGAAGGAAGGGAGGAAGGAAGGAAGGAAGGAAGGGAGGAAGGATGAATAGGAAGGAAGGAAGGATGAATGAATGAATGAATGAATGGATGAGTGAATGAATGAATGAATGAATGAATGAATGAATGAATGAATGAATGCACTACTTCGGCAGGTATTCTTGCTCCACTACTTATATCAAATGTTCCTTTCGTATTTGCAATCAGTTAGCCCCCATTTCTGCTTGGAGTCCTCGTGTTGTGTTTACTGGCTCCTTACATCTGCTTGAAACCCGTGCTTTGTTATTTGTTTGCCGCCCTCCCGACTGGACTTTGCCCAGCCCGTACACAATACTGCCCCAGTAGTGCCACGTTGAACCTCGGGTTGGAGGGAGGGCAAAAGTTTTACCTCCCTCAGCTGCAACTTGCAACTTAAACTTCCCGCAGCGAAATTCTGCAACAGTAACGTTGGTGAGTACTGATAATACATGCAATATAAGGTGCCGTACGTGTTTTGCGGGCGGGGCTACGGAGTCAGGAAGGTTCCGGCTGCACTGTTACAGTTTTCCCTGAGCTCGATATTATAACGGGTTACGCGAAATTAAAAAGCTGTTCCTATGACTTAAGGGACATGACAATACAATAGTTGCCTGCTTTTCGCCCTTTAAAATTAATGAAGTTAACTGCACTTCTAGTACAGTGTGATAGCTTAACATACATGTATGAGAAATTCGGGGGGCAATTAATGTTGCCATAAGGTTCATTCAGCCAATACATGAAGCAATAGTACGTCCTGTAAAGTTCCGTACACCTGGGAGGGCAGGGGAAAGATACTATATGTTTTGGATATTAATAAGCTTTGGCTGCGATATTCCTGGGCATCAGACATGTTGTTTTGGGTTACCTTTGAGTGCCACAAACATAGCCCGACGGAGTGGTGCGAAGTTTTTAGCAAAGGCCACTGAAACAGAACATTTGAGTTTTTACAACGTGGGCAATCTCCAACATCTGTTTTTCTCAGGTACTAGCGGTGTTGTACGGATCCTGTACTTTATAGGAATAAAACGTTTAGAAGAGGATATAACGTTAAATAACCGATTTTGTGTCTGCGAAGGACAAGAAAAGCGAATGTAATGTATAACTACTTGACTATGCTGAGAAATTTCTGGGTGGTATTGAACTTTTGAAGTACAACATACACGCTGCAGTACACTTGGGGGCGGGAAGGGGGCGTTGTCCCTTTGTAGGCGTGTCCACTAAATACTTGAGAACTTGCATGTTGACAACAACAAATGGTGCCCCTTGGTAGCCTCTACCACCCCGTCGGTGCGGCGAAACGTTCTCTCAACGGACAAACTCCCTTGGCATGCTTATCTCTCTATTTGGCCGATTTCTACTCCTTCCAACCGCCTCCGCCTGGTAGAGGCTACCCTTTGGTTCTTTACTCTGGATATAAAATAATCAAACCTGGCCTGGAATTGGCGTCGTCTAGCGGAATAACGCGGAGCTGCAGGAAGCGTTCCGTACATGTACAAAAGCCAAAGGTGAGGAGTGAACCGCTAGTCCTACCTTCCGGGTGGCCGTCCCGAGCCCAGTTGCCGCCCGCAGCGCGAGCTCTGGGCCCTCTCCTCGCGTAGAGCAGCCGTTACAGGTGAGAGAACACCTGCCGCAGGTGAGACAACACACCTGTAGTTCCCAGGTCTCAGCTCGCCAAGCAGATGTGTGGTTCCAGCTAGTTTCTCACGTCGCGATCTGTAGTGTAGGTTATTCTGGCGGTGGGCGTTTTTAGTAGTAATTTTACTCTGTTCGCCTGACGGCAACAAAGGCTTTAGACAGAACGCCGGAAATGTGCAAAATGAGCCCCGCATATCTGCTTGGAGATCGACTCCACTCAACGGTGCTAAACGGTTACGTTGTTTACTTCCACGTGGTGTTTGTTGTTTCCGTGGCAGCCACGTGGTCGCCACGTGGACACACCTGCTGCACTGTTGTTTACAGGTGTTGTTTGTTTACTTCCACGTGTTTATTTATTTACAGGTGCTGTCACCATGATAACCATGCGGTACTGTTTGTTGTTTACAGGTGTTTGTTTATTTACAGGTGTTGTTTGTTGTTTACAGGTGCTGTCTCCTATGGAAACCATGCGGCCACACCTGCTGTACTGTTTGTTGTTTACAGGTGTTGTTTATTTATTTACAGGTGCTGTTGCTATGGGAACCATGCGGCCACACCTGCTGTGCTGTTTGTTGTTTCTTGCCCTCCTTCACCAAAGACCCTCAGCAGGTGAGTTTTTTTTCCGGATCAAAAGTTAAAAGAACTGAACTAAAGCTTTATTACAGTCTAAGCTGTCATGAAGCTTGCAGTGGAGTCATTGCAAAAACCACAAAAATAAAACCAACACAAACATTTCAGGCACAGCTTACAGTGAAATTGCTTCGAGGACCCCCACCCAGGGGATCAGGACCCCCACCTTGGGGATCAGGACCCCCACCCAGGGGATCAGGACCCCCACCCAGGGGATCAGGACCCCCACCCAGGGGATCAGGACCCCCACCCAGGGGATCAGGACCCCCACCTTGGGGATCAGGACCCCCACCCAGGGGAGGAACCCTGCACAATAATTACGGCGTTGTATATTTTTAATCTCCAAGCAGATCTTTTGGTGGGGGTATTAGAGACAGTCTAAAATTGGGTGGGGAAATGGATACAGACTGGCCAATTTGATACTGTCTAACCCTTCCTGAAAGATATTCTGCTTTAAGATTAAAGATATGCCTGTATCGTTTGTATACTGTAGTGAGTTGTATTACATATTATACTTGATTAGGGGAAGAAGAGCACCACCCCGGGGAAGCCTGGCAGGGTACAGACATGCCGTACGAGGAGCTGTGTTATATTGTATGTGTAACGTTATGTGTACTGTGTTGTGTTTATTCCCCACCCCCCCAGGGGAAGTGGACCCCCACCCCGGGGACGAGCGCTGGAAGGACACAGACATGCCGTACGAGGAGCTGTGTTATTGTATAACGTGTGTTACAGTAACATTATGTGTGCTGTGTTGAGTGTTATTATACCTGGACTAGGGGAAGTAGACCCCCACCCCGGGGAAGCCTGGCGGGACACAGACATGCCGTACGAGGAGCTGTGTTATTGTATAACATGTGTAACGTTATGTGTACTGTATTGTTTGTATTGTGTTACTATATAAATAGGGGAGGGAGACCAGCCCTGGCGGGACACAGACATGCCGTACGAGGAGCTGTGTTATTATATAACATGTGTATATGTCCTGTATTGTTTGTATACTGTATTGTGTGTTATTATACCTGACTAGGGGAGGGAGACCAGCCCTGGCGGGACACAGACATGCCGTACGAGGAGCTGAAAGCGAGGCTGGAGTCGGGGACCGTCCGTTTGATTGACGTGAGGGAGCCGATCGAGCTAGTGGAGGACGGCGAGATTCCTGGTGCCGTGAATATTCCGCGTGAGTAAACAAACAAACAAACATTCCACATAGCAGGACGGCGAGATTCCCGGCGCTGTGAATATTCCACGTGAGTTAACAAACTAACAAACAAACATTCCGCGTAAGTAAACAAACTAACTAACTAACTTACATTCCGCGTGAGTACACAAACTAACTAACTAACTTACATTCCGCGTCAGTAAACAAACAAACAACCAAACAAACAAACATTCCCGGCGCCGTGAATATTCCTTGTGAGTAAACAAACTAACTAACTAACAAACATTCCATGAGCTGGTGGAGGACTGCGAGATTCCCGGTGCCGTGAATATTCCACGTAAGTAAACTAACTAACTAACTAACATTCCACGTGAGTGAACATGGAACGTTCTAGCTGCCCCCTAGCTCTAAGCATCAGTCTTTCTGCTGGACAAGTTTGCACCTCCATCGGTTATGATTTTCATTGCCCTTGTAATGCATACGGACAGTCAGAGATTCAAGCTTTTTGTTGACTTTAAATTGAAAAGTGTTACAATCACATAACAGGTGACTTCAATATTCTACAGTTGGTGAGGTTGGGGATGCGTTCCAGCTGCCCCCTGGCGAGTTTCAGCGGAAGTACAGCTGTGAGAAGCCGGGGAGGGAGGATGACAACATCGTGACCAGCTGTCTGGCCGGGGTTCGCAGCTTCGACGCGCTCGAGCAACTACGCAAACTCGGATTCCACAAGTAAGGATGTCAGACTCACATATATGTTTCCTCAAACTCTGTAGCCTGGTTAACCAGACCCCGTGAGCTCAGCGCTATCCTTCGACGCGCTCGAGCAACTACGCAAACTCGGCTTTCACAAGTAAGATTTTCCCAAACTCACAATACATGTATCACAAGTAAGGTTTCCGTCGGTGAAAGTTTCACAAGATTTCTGCAAACTCTCAGGATATCACAAGTAAGACTTCCCCAAGCTCACAAGTGAGGATATCAATGTCACGTACATGTATTACAAGTAAGACTTCCCCAAGCTCTGAGGATTTCACAAGTTAGGCCAAAAAGTAGTTACTTTAAGCACTGGATATGATTTTGGAAACGGCCAGACGTTTCAGCTAGTATCCACTAGCTTTCGTCAGTGACTGAGAGACCAGAGGAGAATGCAGGTTAAAAAGAGGTGTTAAAGAGGCAACATATGAAAGAATATAGAACCCCACCCTCAACAGGGAAGGGGGGCTACGGGTCGATCTCTCCGGCACTTGGCATTCCCAGCCCCGAGGACAGACGACACTTAAGCTCCTGTTCTGCATTACAGGAGCTTATCATTCATTCATTCATATCAAGTAAGTTTTCTGTAAACTCTGATTTCACAAGTAAGACTTCAAAAGTCTACTTTTAATTCATTTACATTTGGCTTTTAGGAGGAAAAGTTAAATTCGCTGTGTTTTAAATTCGCAGTAGTAGTTTGCGGTATTATGACTCAGAGGTAACTGTGTAAATACTATCACTGCGATAGTTTCTGCATGATATTTTATATTATTTATTTTTTTAACAGAGTAAAGCACTATCCTGGTGGCTTGTTTATGTTGATGTTTATGTTTACAGAGTAAAGCACTACCCCGGTGGTTTGTTTATGTTTATGTTTGTGTTTACAGAGTAAAGCACTACCCGAGTGGTTTGTTTATGTTAATGTTTGTGTTTATGTTTACAGAGTGAAACATTACCCCGGTGGCTTCCTCGAATGGTCAGAACGATGTGAACAGGAATGGAAGGAAAAGGACGACACCAGGAACACCAAAGACCCCATACAGCCCCCCATACCTGTGGATAAAAAAGAAACCAGTAACACGGAAAACCCCACGGCACCCCCGGCCCCCCCTAACTCCATACCCTCTCCACAAGACAAGACAGAATTGTGATGCCGGCTTCAGATTTTCTTGTAAATACTGTAAACCAGAACTAGTCCCAAAATTCTTCTGAAATATCTAACATCTGCGTCCATAATATCACCAGGGTCCATAATATCACCACCTTGAGAAATATATGTGCTTAAAGATATTTCTACTGCAACATACCCTAGGTATGTACATTTGAGGTGTGCAGGAGTGCATACCAAAAGTATGATGCAGTAAAAATATCTTAAAAAGCACACTATTTCTCAAGGTGGTGATATTATGGACCCTGGTGATATTATGGACACGGATGTTATAACTAGTCCAAATGTTGCACATCAATATGTGGAAATTAGTAATAATAAATAGAATAAAAGTGAGATTGTAAAATGAGATTATTTGGCCGTCAAAAAAGACTGTGTAAATGAAGATGAACTCAAGGTTCTCATATGTTGTCTTCCGTTGCAGAATCACTCAGAAACGTGGAGATTTTATATTTTTCATGGCATTACATGTAAATCTCAGAGGGGAGGGAACATAAATTACAGTAATGAACGACGTAAAGATTCCAGCAGTCCAACATTCTGTTAACTTCCTACGGCTGGACAAAATATCAACCTGAAAATTGAGTCTGAGCAGAAGTCAGTTTAAGAATAAAATCAGGTTCAAGTTTTCCTCCCAGCCTTTTGTCTTCATCTTGGTATTTTGGTGAATCATTTTAAATGTTGGAAATAAATTTGTGCAGCCGGAAGTGAAATTGCCTGACAGTCTTCCTTGATTTGTCACAATGGTGCAATGGCCAAGTGGGTAGAGTGCTCGCCTTGCATTTGGTAGGTCTTGAGTTTGATCCCGGCAGAGTCAAGACTTTAAATATGATAGTATTGCTTTCTCTGCTTAGCACTCAGCATTTTGACTCAACACACACCAGTACCAGCGGACTAGCCCCCTGCTGTAGTGATTGCACAATTGTGTGGCCCAAGGGCTACGGAACTGGAGATGGGCACCATGATTCGTCACGTCTTGTACAAACTAAGAAGCACAAACTGCAACACAGGCACGTAAAGTTTCCAGATATTTTATTCTTCCTGAAAATGTCTCTTTGTACAGAACAGAAACCTGACATGGGAACATCCCTGGTTCCTTACTACATCTTCACACTAAAGACGGCACTTAAAGACGCGCTTACGTCACACTTAAGGAACTTCTGCTTTCAAGGAGGTAAAGTCTGTTTCCAGGCAATGTCTTAAGGCTCAGCCTTCCTCAAAGGACAATATTTTTCTCAAAAAAAAAATAATTTCACATTTTTTCAACCACAAAAACACACTAGTGGCAGCTGTTCCTAGCCACCAGACAAATTTCATTTCATTTTTTATTTATCTATACAGGTTTAATAATTTGGCTCCGAGTCTGAAGGGCCAGAGCAAGTCTTGCAAGAAGTGATGCAAATTTCTTCACTTGTCCTTTATTTTCAGTCTTAGACTGAGACAAACTAGAACAAAAATTTTCTTTGGGGTTGATTTGATCGCTTTTGACTATTGATATTTCTGACAATATTTACAGAACAGAGTTGGGCTGGAACCAACAGAGTAACCAGAAAGCAGACGCTTCGAAAGTGTCCAAAACACAGGAGAAAATATAGATAATGTCACAGAACAGTTATGAATATTTTTCATAAATAAATAACTTAAACTGTAACATAATACTTCTATGTACAACAAGTCCAAATTTTAATACTCCACTTTACTTATCAATAAATAACAGTGCAACACTTTAATATATATTAAACACGGAGAAGTTTTTATAAACTTCCAACTATAACAGAAAACATCGGCAAGTCCGAAAAAACATGAAGAAACCTTTTTGACTTTAAGAAAACAACACGTAGAGAAATAAGATGAAAAAGATAATAATCATATAATTAATTTAATTTTTATGGCACGAGGCAAGTTTTGCTCCATCAAACACACGGATTGGTCACTTAAATCCACTCTCCAAGCAGAGGTTTGGGTTTAGGCGTTGGCTTATTTTTTTACGTTTTTAATTCAGGCCTTTTTTTGTACTTTTTTTCACCAGCCTATTTAATTTTTGGATATCGCCCTGCCAAGTTGATACTGTCGTAGCCACCAAAAAATCTGTTTGGAGATTAGCTTAAATCTGGTCCTTCAAGATCTGGTCAGTTAATTTTCCAGCTTTGCTTTTGAGCAGACAAAAGATAGCCCTATTGTTAGGGAGTTGTAGCCTGGTATCCAGCCTTGTTAGCTTTAGTCCGCTACCCAAGATCCGCTCACAAGGCTGGATACCAGGCTAAGGGAGTTGGGTACTTTCTAAACATTTTCTAGAACTTGCTACAAATTTCACAAAACTTCTGCAACATCTCCACACGAGACTTTAAAAAACAGAAAATTCAAACAAAGAAATGTACATCAAATGCACTGCCAACAGCCAATGACAAGGCTTGTTACAACCTGGATGCTGATAGATTGCAACCAACCAGAGGGCTTGACACAACTGTACCCAAACACAAGTCTCAAAGCTAACTTAAGAAAGGTTTAAGAAAATGACTTGATCCCAAAACCAAAGCTGCCAAGGTCATTACAGCAGAAACAAGGTCAAAGGACGAAGAATTCACACAAAAGTTTGTTGGTTCGTTAGTTCGTGCCAGAAATGAGTTAAACCAACAAAAGTGACAGCAGCAACCGTTGCTATAGTAACAAAACATTACAGATTGTCTCTCTTAACATAAATATTTACATGTAAACAACAACAGCTCTTTTAATAACAACCTTGAGAACTATGAGGAGTTCCTTAAAGCAACCCCCTCATCAGCTCCTTAGCTTTTAGACCGTTCCACCAAGCTTCCTGGGGGGTGACTGGAGGATAAAATATCCATCTAATCTACGTGAGATCACTCCTGACCACCCCCGATAGAAAACTCGATGGAACAGTCCGCATCATATGCACAAATATACATATTTTTTCCTCGGAAGACTCAGAAACAAAAGTCTTCGAATTGCATTATTATAATCTGCTTAATTAGATCAGTAACTTGCTTAATTAAGAGGTAGTGAAGCAGCTTGGACAGCTTTAAGACGTCTTAACAGCTGCAAGGCGTGTAAAATGCCACTTGAAGAACAAACATTGCATTATTATGTTGCAACTCCTCGGGTTGACTTTTGGGGGTTTGACAGGTTTTACAGTTCTGGGCAAAAATGGTCTGAATGGGGGGGGGGGACGTCTTGTAGCAGAATGGTTAACTTCTGTAGGGGGGGTCGGTACATGTAAGAGTGGGA